CCCTCTTCCCCTTTGCGCCGGAAAGGGAGCCGGGGAGGGGGGGCCTCTCTCGCTTCTCCTTTCTCCGCCAGAGAAGGTGTGTAGGGAGTACGGAGTTGGGAGTAGGGAGTGGTGAGTAGTGAGTATTGAATTAGTGCGTAGTGAGTAGTGAGTATTGGGTAGTGAGTAGTGGTTAGTGAGTGGCCAGTAGGTAGTAGGGAGTAGGGAGTGTGGAGTAGTGAGTATTGAGTAGTGAGTAGTGTGTATTGATATGTGAGTAGTGCGTGGCGAGTAGTGAGTAGTGAGTAGTGAGTAGCGAGTAGTGAGTAATGAGTACTGAGTAGGGAGTAGGGAATAATGAGTAGTGGGTAGTGAATAGTGGTTAGTGAATAATGGGTGGCGAGTAGTGATTAGTAAATAGTGAGTAGTGGGTAGTGCGTAGTGCGTAGTAGTGAGTAGTGAGTAGTGAGTAGTGAGTGCTGAGTAGTGAGTAATGAGTAGTGAGTAGTGAGTACAGAGTAGCGAGTAGCAAGTAGTGAGTAGTGAGTAGTGAGTAGTGGGTACTGAGTAGTACGTAGTGCGTAGTGAGTAATGAGTAGTGAGTAGTGTAGAGAGTAGTGGGTAGTGGCAGTGGTAGTGTGTAGTGAGTAGCGAGTAGGGAGTAGCGAGTAGTGAGTAGTGAGGAGCGAGTAGGGCGTAGTGAGTAGTGAGTAGTGGGTAGAGAGTAGTCAGTAGTGAGTAGTTGGTAATGATTACTGAGTAACGACTAGGGAGTAGCGAGTAGTGAGTAGTGAGTAGTGAGTAAAGAGTAGGGAGTAGGGAGTAGGCAGTAGTGAGCAGTGAGTAGTAAGAAGTGGGTAGCGAATAGTGGGTATTGAGTAGCGATTAGTGAGTAGTGAGTAGTGGGTAGTGAGTAGTGACTAGTGACTAGTGACTGTGACTAGTGACTAGAGTCTATGTAGTGACGAGTGAGTAGGGAGTAGTGAGTAGTGAGTAGTGAGTAGCGGGGAGTGAGTAGTGGGTATAGAATAGCGAGTATGGGGGTAGCTCAGTAGTGAGAACTGAGTACTGTGGTGTCAGTATTGTTTAGGGAGTAGGGAGTAGCGAGTAGCGAGTAGTGGGTAATGAGTAGTGATTTGTGGGCAATGAGTAGTGAGTAGTGAGTAGTGGATTAGTGGGTAGTTGGTAATGAAAAGTGATTCGTGGGTAGTGAGTAGGGAATATTGAGTAGTGGGTAGTGAGTAGTGCTTAGTGAGCAGTGAGTATTGAGTAGTGGGTAGTGAGGAGTGAGTAGTGAGTAGTGAATAGGGAGGAGGGAGTGGTGAGTCGGGAGTAGTGAGTAGCGAGTAGTGGGTGGTGGGTAGTGAGTAGTGGATAGTGTGTAGTGAGTCGTGAGTAGTGAGTAGGGGGTAGTGAGAAGTGAGTAGCGAATAGCGAGTAGTCAGTAGTGGGTAGTGAGTTATGAGTAGTGGGTGCTCTTTGGGGCTGGGGTTAGTGGTTGGGGTTCGGGGTTGGGGTTTGGGTTCAGGTGAGGGCTAGGGGTCGGGGTGGCGGGGGTCGGGTTCCTGAGTCAGGGGCGGCGTGGCGAAAGGGGGGGAGGGGGGGGGAGGCGGCGAAAGGGGGGGAGGGGAAGGGGGGTTCGGAACCCCCTCCCCCCTCTTTTGAAAAGGGGGGGGGGGTCCCCGACGACGGATCGGGGAAAGGGGGGGGGGGGAGGGGGGGGGGTCCCGACGACGGATCGGGGAAGGGGGGGAGGGGGGGGGTCCCCGACGACGGATCGGGGCAAGGGGGGGGGGGGGTCCCAGCCCCCCCCCTTGGGGAGATCCAGCGGCGCACCTTCCTTATTTCGCCCGCAATCGCGGGGCCACCCTGGAATTTCAAGCCCCATACTGGCCCCTCAAGAATGCCATTGCATGCAATTTTGGTTCACAGCAGTTTGAGGTTCTTGGGCAATTCCGGGGTCACCGTGGAATTACCCCCAGCGAAACACGAAGTAGCTAACCGATAGGGCTGAACCTGAACAGTCTTCAGCGCCACGCCATGGAAGCACGGCGGAGTGGTGTCCGACGCACACTCAGACGAGATTTCGCTGTTCCGCGACGTGAGTTTAGCGCGCGGCGTTGCTACTCGCATTCATGTCTCATCTAAGCATGCTTCTGCTTTTCTTTGTCCCCGTCCTTCTGCTCTGTGGCTCATCATCACTACCATCATCACCTTCATCATCATCATCACTATTATCATCGTGCTCGTCATGCTCACCATGCTCATCATCATCACCATCAACAGCATCATCATAATCACCATTGTCATCACCATCATCACCATCATCATCATCATCAGCATCAGCATCAACATATTCATCATCACCACCATCATCATCACCATCACCACTATCACCATCAATCTCATCATCTTCCCGCTTCCGATCTGAAGCGCAAGAGTGACTGCGTGAATGGCCAACGTCGCGTGTGGCTTGACGCTCCGTGCCGAAGCGTTCCTCGGCTTCTTCAGATATTTCCATGTGTTATCTTACATTTAAGCGGTTCTGATTATAGACTTCGTGTATTTCGACAAAAGGTTGGGTACGTCTCCGGGTAATTCCGCGACGTCGGATTTCAGGGTCCCGTACTCGTGGGCGATGTTTTGGGGGCGGGCCGGGGTTTGCGGGAAAAAGGGGCCCTAAATGGGGCCCACGCGGCCCCGCACATGCACGACATCTTGACCTCCCCCCCTCCACACAAACACACACACACACAGACACAGACACAGACACAGACACAGACACAGACACAGACACAGACACAGACACAGACACAGACACAGACACAGACAGACATAGACACAGACACAGGAACGGGCACAGACACAGACACAGACACGGGCACAGACACAGACACAGACTCAGACGCAGACACGCGCAGACTCAGAAACAGACACGCAACACACAACACACAACACACGGACACACACGGACACACACGGACACACAACACACAACACACAACACAACACACAACACAGCACACAACATACAAGACAGAAGACACAAGACACATCACACAACACACAACACACAACACAATTCACAACACACGGACACACGACACACACAACACAACACAACACACACGCACACACCACACAACACGCAGCACAGACAACACACAATACACAACACGCACAACGCACAACACAAACAACACACAACACACAGCGTACACAAAACACAACACACAATACACAACACACAACACAACAGCACACGCAGCACACACCACAAACACACACGACACACACGACACACACAACACACACCACACAACACACACACGACACACACAACACACAACACGCAACACACACCACACACAACACACAACACACAACACACAACACATTACACACAAGCCACACAAACCACACAACGCACAACACACACACGCACACGCACGCCCGCCCGCGCGCACACGGCACGCGCACGTGCACGCGCACGCGCACGCGCACGCACACGCACCCATACGCAGACGCACACGCACACGCACACGCACATGCACACGCACACGCACACGCACACGCACACGCACATTCACATGCACACGCACACGCACACGCAAACGCACATGCACATGCACACGCACACGCACACGCACACGCACACGCACACGCACGTGCACACGCACACGCACACGCACACCGACCGACACAGACACAGACACAGGCACAGACACAGACAGCGAGACATAGACAGACAGACAAACAGACAGACTGACAGACAGACACGCACACGACACACGCACACAACACACACACACACACGTTTACTGCACCCCCCACTGGGCAGGGCCCGAGAAAGGCGGGGGATCCTCCTCCCCCTCGTGCTTGCCTCCTCTCCTCGGACGGGGGCGGTCGAGGCAACGGCGGCCCCCGCCGGCGCTCGTCTGTTCGATTCCACTTCCTGGGAAGCTGGTCAGGATGGACCCTGGGAGGGGTCTGGGTAGGGGGCCAGATGCGAACCCTACCCCTACCCCCCACGATTTCTGAGGAGGAGGGTGGGGTTCACTTCGTTCGGGAGCTCCCGAGCGAACTGAACCCCACCCTCCCCCTCAGAAATCGTGGGGGGTAGGGGTAGGGTTCGCGTCTGCCCCCCTACTGGGGGCAGATTTTGAGCGCCTTGAGGCCCTCCTCTCCTCCTTGTTCCGCGGCCGTCCTGGGGCCGTCCCAGGCCCCATGTTGGCCGCCAGGGAAGAAGCCGTCCTCTCCTCGTGCGCGGCCGCAAGGTAGGAGCGCGATGCTCAGAGCGCCATTGGCAGGGCGAATGCAGAAACTGGTGTACCACCGCATTGTGATGTCGATACTGCGGTGATGCTCCGATGATCTCCGTGGTGCTCTCCTTCTTCCCCCCCCGCCTGGTTCCTCCCCCTCCCCCCCTCACTCTCGAGGAGGCGCAAGCATGGACCCGGGCGCGTGGATCCGCTGCGGGTCCCGCTTCCGAACACAAAAGACCTGCGCTTCATGGTTTCGGCGTGATTTTTTTTCACTCGGAGCCACGTGCCAATTCCACGGACGTGTACTCCGCGTCAGCGTGCGCCTGACCCCCCCCCTTTGCTCTGGGGCCGCCTCGGGACCGTCCCGCAGCCCCCAGGGGCCGCCAAGAAGCCCTCTCGCCCCGCCGAGGCCGTGCGGTACGAGCGACACAGGGTCAACCTCCTCCTCCTCCTCCTCCGAAGGCTCGAATGGAAGAAGAAACCCGCCGGAAGAAAAAATGATGCCGCCAGAGAGTTCGGTCCTCCTTCTCCACTGGGGCCGTCTTTCCAGGCCTTCTAGATGGGGTCGGAGTGGATGGAGCCGGAGGATCGCGCCGCATCGCCAGTGCATCGGCGACGCGGCTCGATGTGGAGCCCAACCTTCTCCACGCTGGCGTCGCCGATGCGTCGGCGATGTGGCGCGATCTTTCGACCGCATCTACTCCGACCCCATCTGGGAGGCTTCCAGTCTTTGTGCCCTCCCCCCCCCGCGCCAAGGCCGTGAGGTACGAGCGCAACAGGGTCGGCATCGTCGACACCCCTGGGCTGCTCATGCCGGGCGGCCTGGCCTCCAAGCTGCCGTACGGGGACCTGCTGCAGACCGTGCCGCAGAAAGGGGAGCCCCCCCTCTGGGCACAGCAAAGAGTCATAGCCATAATCAGGTGGATTTTTCGGGAGGGCTGCTCGGGGTAGACCCCACCGACCTCGACATGTCGGCGGCGAGCGAGGGGGGGGGGGGATGAGGAGGAGAAGGCCTTCTCCGAAGGCGGCGGGACTTCTCGGAAGCCCTCGCGCCTTCGGAGAAGTTTCCTGTGCCTTCGGGGAAGGCTTAGATAACTCCTCAGAAGCCCGGGGGACTTCCGAGCCTTCTGAGAAGGCCCGCCCCTTCTCACTTCCCCCCCAGGCGCGCCGCCGAAACACCGAATCACAACCATAACTCAGTGAATTTATCGGGAGGGCTTCTCGAGGGAGAGCCCCCCGACCTCCGACCTCGACATGAGCACTTTGGTTGTGGTTGTGGTCAAGCTAGTTACCCTGGGACGCCACATCGACCACAGCCAGTACTTAGCTGGCTTCGGTGTTTCGACGTGTCTTGGCATGCGCAAGACGTTTCCCAGGGTGTGTCCTCGACGTGGTTGCGGTCGCCTGCTGTCCCCGCACCCACCCTCGGGCCTCTGGCGCGGTCGCGGTCCTCCCCGTTCGGAGGTCTCGGTCGGCGGCGCACCGAACCCTACCCTCGCCGATGAACGATTCAGGCAACTCGCGCGGGCGGCCACTCTCAAGCGGAGCAGCATCAGCGGCAGTAGAGAACTCGCGGGAGAAGGCGCATGGCAAAAGACATTGCAGTCGAGGCCCCTCGCAGGCCCCGCCCACTCAGACGACGCCGCCGCACACGGATGCCTCGTCCCAGAACGCGCACTGCACCACCGCGCGCAGCACAATAGCACTCGTGTTCGGAATTTGTCGTGCACGAAGCGATAGCCGATTCGCGAGAATCGATGGTTGGTGGGGGGTAGGGTTCGGATGCAGCCACCTGCCTCCGGCGCGGTCAGGGGCCTCCCCGTTCGGGAGATGTCGGACGAACGGGACTTCGGTCTTCGAGGTTCTCGGACGTCGTTCTATTATTCTTATTATTATCACCGTTCGTATCCTCATTCGTATTATCTTTATGTTTGTCATTATTTTTATTATTACGACTATTCTTATCATTCGTATCATTACTGATACCATTAATTTCGTATTCTTACAAGTCGTAGCATGAGTCTTACTATGTTTGGTACTTCATTCTTACTAATTCCAGTAGTAGCATTATCATTCTTCGTATAATTATTGCTATTTATATAACTCTTATGTTCTTTTATTATGATCGCCATTCATCGTAGTCATTCTAAAGTGGTACTAATCACACCATTCGTATTACGACCACTACTAATACCAACGGCAAACATCATGTTGATAATGCCGGTAGTAACATCACACATAATACGTATACCACTAGTAGCACTAGTATTCGTAATGAGCATACTCATACGAATATTGGTACTACGAATCGTCTAGACTAAACGCAATACAAAGAAACTGCATGACTATTTATATATGTATGTATATATCCGTAAGGGCTTCGCCCCCTGCCGCCGGCCCCCTCTCTCGGAGAATGGGCCATGGAAGAGCTAAGTCATGAGGCCTTGGCGCTGTCGTGAAGCAGTATCGAAACTTCATGCGAAGCCGATTCGCAATCAGCAAAACCAACTGATCACAAGAGGGGTTACCACACCTGGCGATTGGTAAGACGTGTATGGTTTACGGGCTTGGTTACCACACCTTGCGATTAAAGGGCCGAGGGAGTTCTCGCAGTTTGGGTTACCACGCCTTGCGATGGATGTGCGTGAGGGGTGGCACGAATTTCAGAAATGTGGCAAATCCCCTGTGTTTTTGGACCCTGACCCCGCGGATCTGCGTAAGGGGTGGCGCCGAATTTCAGAAATGTGGCAAATCCCTGTGTTTTTGGACCCTGACCCCGCGGATCTGCGTGAGGGGTGGCACCGAATTTCAGAAATGTGGCAAATCCCCTGTGTTTTTGGACCCTGACCCCGCGGATCTGCGTGAGGGGTGGCACCGAATTTCAAAATGTGGCAAATCCCCTTTGTTTTTGGACCCTGACCCCGCGGATCTGCGTGAGGGGTGGCACCGAATTTCAGAAATGTGGCAAATCCTTGTGTTTTTGGACCCTGACCCCGCGGGTCTGCGTGAGGGGTGGCACCGAATTTCAGAAATGTGCAAATCCCCTGTGTTTTTGGACCCTGACACCGCGGATCTGCGTGAGGGGTGGCACCGAATTTCAGAACTGTGGCAAATCCTTTGTGTTTTTGGACCCTGACCCCGCGGATCTGCGTGAGGGGTGGCACCGAATTTCAGAAATGTGGCAAATCCCCTGTGTTTTTGGACCCTGACCCCGCGGATCTGCGTGAAGGGGTGGCACCGAATTTCAAAAATGTGGCAAATCCCCTTTGTTTTTGGACCCTGACCCCGCGGATCTGCGTGAGGGGTGGCACCGAATTTCAAAAATGTGGCAAATCCCCTTTGTTTTTGGACCCTGACCCCGCGGATCTGCGTGAGGGGTGTTGATTTCGAGCCCCCCCAGCAATTCAGACAACGCGCCCAGGAGACGCTAAAAATCTGGTTTGGCCCCCGCGCGGTCAATCAACTAGTTACAGTAACCAGCAAGAAGCAGAACTATAACACTGGAAACTACAAGCTACAACTGGTACTGGAAACTGCGAACCCGCGCCTCGCAGCCTGGTGGCCCCACAAGGGGGCCAGCGGATATAATTTGTGACGGCATTACGGCCGGTGCTGCCGACCCTGAAAGAAGACCTCCATGATGAAGGTGACAGCCAGAGGTGTTCGGAAAGGTTAGGACCAGACGCCCCGAAGAGTTTCCCTGAGGCACCATGAGTTTCACAACAAGCATTTGACGAGGAGCACAGCTTGGCCAAGCTATCTGTCTATGTGCTCTCACAGCCGCTGAGGGTGGAAGAGGGGAGGATTCAGGAGAGGGCGGAGGAGGAGGAGGAAGAGGAGGAGGGGGAGGAGGAGGAGGAGGAGGAGGATGAGGAGGAGTTGGAGGAGAGATAATAATAATGAGAAACATATAACAATATTAACAAGAGGAGGAGGAGGAGGGAGGAGGAGGAGGAGGAGGAGGAGGAGGAGGAGCAGGAGGAGGAGGAGAACGAGGAGCAAAACAAGGAGTAAGAGAAGGAAGAGGAGAATGAGGATGATGAGGAGGAGGAGGCGGCGGAGGAGGAGGAGGAGGAGGAGGAGACCTCTGGTGAGCCTTTTCGGGGTTCTGGGAGCCCCCGTAGGCTTTATTGCGGCCTCTTGCCGCCATCTGGGACCTTCTTGGATGTGTCTTGGGGCCATCTTAGGACAGGGGGGATCGTGTTCGCCGTCTTGAGCGCATTTTGGATCGTCTTGGCTGCAATGCAGCGCCATCCTGACCATCTGGGAGGCGAGCCTAGTCGTCTCTTGGAGAATTCTGTGTGGGCCCTCTGGGGGCTCTCTTGGGGCATTCGGGCGATTTTAGTCTCTTCTTGGAGGATACTGTGGCCCACGGCCCATCCCGCCACCGTGCCTTGGTATGATATCGTTGGGGACCTTCTGGGAACCGTCTTGGAGCTCCCCAGGCTCCCTTGGAGGCCCTCTCTTTGGGCCCTCTGAAAGTTCCAAGAGGCTTGAAGAGGGGCCACACAGGGCACCAAGAGGCTCTGATAGGCTCAAGAGGGCAGGGCTCCCAGAGCAGCCCGCAGCAGGGTCATACCAAAGGTTCCTGATATGGTACTGTTGAAGGCTTGCTTGGAATTCAGTTGGGGCCCTCTGGGGTCTCTCTTGGGGCGCTCGGGTGATTCAGGCCCCTCTTGGATTATCGAAGACGCCTACGGCGAATCACCGCCGCCCCCTGCCTTTTGGAATCGCCCCTGTGTCCGAGCGTTGTGGCAAGAGCCCTGGCAAGCTATCGGACCATGCGTTCCCCCAGCCGTCGCGGAAACCCTTCGGGGAACGCTTGGAGGAGGATGGCGGGGAAGATCAGGAGGAGGAGGAGCACGCACCTGCTCCGGAGCACGCCGCCGAGCAGCACGGCGGCAGCAGCGGCAGACTACGACGAGGCCGTGCTGGCGGCCTACCAGCGGCTGACTCGCCTGGACCCGCTCACGGAGCACCAGCGCGCGCAGTGCAGACTCCCGCTGCGCCTTGGCGGCCGGGGCCTCCGCAGCCAGGGGCGACTCGCGCCGGCGGCGTGGGTCGGCTCCTGGGCCCAAAGCCTCTCAGAGGTGCGCGCCCGCACAGGCCTGGCCGCCCTGGACGACTTGGAGGAGGCTGAGCAGCCTCTGGCGGCTGCCTGCCGGGCCGCGCGACTCCTGCTGCCGCTGCTGCAGCCTGGGACCGGGCCGGGGGAGGGTGCGGGCCCCCTCCTCGCCTGGGCTGACCTCGCCCAACAACCTCGCACCAAGGTGCAGAAGGAGCTCACGCGGCGGCTGTACCAGAAAAACCTTTTGGCCCTGCGGAGCTCCAGCACCGGCGAGGACAGGGCGAGGCTGGCTTCCTGCGGGGGGCCGCACGCTGGAGGCTGGCAGCTGGCCTCGCCGGGCGCTGCGGGACAGCGCCTCAGCAACGCGGACTACTGCAGCACCGCCCGCGAGCTCCTCGGCCAGGACCTCGCGCCGCCGGGAGCCTGCTAGGCCATGGACGCGCACCGGCCGCCTCTACGGCGAGCCGCTCTGCAGCAAGGCGCGCCACGCCTTTCGATGTCCCTGCGGCGGCGGTGTCAGAGCCCGCAGCAGGGATGTCGAGGACGTGTGGGAGCGCATTCACACCGAGTGCGGCTTCCACGCGGCGCGCCAGGTTCCAGTGCCAGTGTGGGACCGGTGGGCGTGGCGCTGCGCCCCCTGCCACACGGCTGGCGCGCCCTACGAGCAGCCGGGCTCCTGCGCCGCCTGCGGCCAGCCGCTGGAGGCCTGGCGCGAGGAGGCTATCCTCGACCTCGAGGTGCAGCGCGCCGGCTGTCCGCGCGTCTTCATCGACGTGACAGTCCGGTACGCTGTGCCCGGGGGCGCCGA